AGCAGCGTCGGTTGCGCAGGTAAGACAAAATCAACAAAAAAAAAAAAACACTCATAAATAAAAACTAACTTTTCCAATTCTTATAAATACTTACATAGCTTGAAGATGAATTGGGCGAATGTGGCACACAGCCCGGTGCCATACAAATGGTAGCGTCTGGGGCAATAATTTCCGCTGGCTCCATACAAATGTCCAACGAAACTCAAATCATTCATCACGGCCATTCGCAACATCAACCTCAGCATATTATGCAAGGTGCAGTTATGGAATTAAAACCACAACAGCCAATCGGTAAGTTTTTATTTAATTTTTTTACATTTAGTATAGTGTGTGAATGTTCGTATTTGAGGAAGGTATACTTGGTTAGCGGCAAGATTTGGTGACAAACATTTTTTAAGCATTATCAAACTTATGTTTCTCTGTGATAAGAGATGGTTATCGGACTGATATTAATATCAAATTATATTGTAGCTCGATTATGTTAGCATTGGTTTTACACCATTCCAAAACTTATAAACCGAAGTTATAAAAAAGTTGGACCTAGGTTTTTAGATAAGCAAGTTTTATCTCTGAAAAGCGTTGGAAGCATGTTTACTCGCATGTTTTGCTCCCCAAAGTTCAGCAAAAAATCAAAAAAACAGCTTATAACCCGGAAAATTAAAATAGAAGTTAAAAAAATATATTTCGCAACAAGGATTCTGAGATTTGGTTATATGTAATGATGGAATCGCGAACGGAAAAATTAAAACATGCACGGAGCACTATGAGTATTTCCAAATAGAGGAGAATTTTTGTTGGAGTTATCATTTCTGAATCTTTTAAATTCCTATAAATACAAATTAGTAACGTTTATAACTTAATAATACAAATGTTTATTACATATATATTTACTACAAATAAGTATGCAAACAAAAGTCGGCTGCCAGAGTGAACCAATTTAAATACTCATGTAAAAGTCCTCATTTATTACGACTTAGAGTACAGCCCATTTTTGCTTTAAGCTAAATCGCTATTTCAGTCGGCTTGCTTCTGTTAATTAATTGCATTTCAAAGTTCTACAATGTTCATTTTAGTTTTACACTCGCTACCCTGCTAGCAATTTCGTTATCTAATGTTTAAGTATGTTATCAATATAATTAAAAGACTTTATAATACACTATGATCGTTTGCGAGGCGATGTGAAATTATTTTCAATTGTGTCGATTGCAATGACCTCACATATAAAGCTAGTAAGTAAGAAATGGGTCTTGATACGAATTGAAAAAAATTGGTTTTCTTTAATACATATGCATGTACATACATACATATTGATTTCTTATGCATATTTTAGTAAATATTTTGTAGTACATACATATGTATGCAGATAGAACAGTTAACTCTTTCCACAAGTACAGGGCATTTCGACGTTTTCCAATATCAAATGACTTAGTAAGCTTGTTTAAAAATGTATAAAACGTTATCTTCAAAGCAGTTTCTTTTGTCCGCACATATTTACAATTATAGATATCTGTATTCGAGTAAATGTGTTGCGCTGCCATCTACGTATGTATGTATGTGTTACTGTGTCCGTCACGATAAATAGTTTACTCATTTCAATGAATGGTATTGCATCAGTCATTGACTTTCGATAATCAAATACTTAGCCGTTAGCGTATCATAAAAAATTGGTTTAATAATCTTTCGTCTGCACTATCCGAAGTTATCGGTTAAAACTATTTTTTCATAAATTTAGCTACAAAATGAGCTGTACACTAGAGTTGTCGAACTATCGATAGTGACGCCGTTCGATATTTTCGATAGTTTCAGTTCTCACTATCGATATTATCGATTGTGCTATTGTAGAGGCAAATGGGCGACGACAAAAATAAAAACTTAGACAACAT